GGAAGAGAGAAGGGGGAGGTAACTCCAACCTGGAGTTCATTAAAGTGCTACAGAGAGGAGCTCATTAGGGAGTAGCTGAAAACACCCTTAACAATTCAGATTTCTGCCCCTGTCATGATGAAGAGGATCTGCAAATCTGCCAGATGAACCTCAGCAAAACAACATCCACCATGCTAAAAGGTTTTCAGAAATTGTATTTAATTAGTACTTACATTAAACAAACTGTCAAATGACCTTTCTCTAAAATCACCTTTTAGGCAGCTAGTGCTTTGCATTAGATAGATATCCCTGGCATCATGCATGTTGCATTCTGTCACACACCCACACAGAGAATAATGCATAAATTTGCTTACTGATAAAGCATGGAAACCCCCTCTTTTTTTTTTTTTTTTTCTCTTTTCAAATGGATAGGAAATGAACTGTGAACATCTAGAAGTATGTTTTATCCAGTTCCAAAACATGATACAGAACAATAGTTACTTATCACAGTAACGATGATTCCAAAAAGTATTTCCTCCTGTCCGTACCAAAGGTATGTGCTACTGATCTTGCCAGCCCTGGAGACATTCAGAGGGTGGTTCCTACCAGGACATCACACAGCATGTTTGGTTTCTACAAAGGGCATAAACCAGCTCTGTTGCCCAGTCAAGAGTTCCTTTACACCCTCCCACCACATGATGTAAGAAGAGGTGGTGGCAGGTGTTGTGACTGTGAGGAAGCAGGATTTCATCTGTTGCTGTGTGGTCCTCCATGGGGTAACTCACACCACACACACATGCCCATTTAGTCAAAATGAGACCCAAGAAGCAAGTCAGAGAACTTCAACCAAGTCAGAGCTGCTTAAATCAGGCATGAGAGCTGGCTGTGAAGGGGAAGCACAAGCCCTTGCTGAGGGCTCCAGGTGCAATTCACTCGTGTTTCTGACAAGAAAACATCACCCTTCAGCACCTGGACCAGGAGTCCAGTTCTTTCACAGCTTTCTCTGAGCTTCCCTCTGTACCAAGACCAACGTATTCAATGTAGGGTGGCTTTTATCAAGAGTAAAACTTTCTGAACCTCTTGTGCTCAAGGATAGTACAGTAAAATTCTCTAAAATCTGTGCACTTCAATGTTCCCTCAAGTTCAGTATGTCAAAGAGACAAACTGCAGCAGATTTAAAAGTCTAGGAGTAAGAAAGCAGTTTGTCATGCCATAACCTCACACAGCCTCGTGCTCTTCTTACCAGCCCCCTTGCTGCTCCACGACAGAGGTAATAACAAGCATTTTACTGGGCTTTGGAAGGATGACATAGTGCTCTAAAAGAATCCTCCTGAGTCACTTGAACTAGGAAAGAAAGTCATGGGAGCCTCAGTAAAGCCATGGCAGGCAAAATTTAAATTTATTTGTTTCACATTTTTGGACAAAGGCCTAAAGATCTGCAAATTTAACACGCACTCTTCTTTGCCCTAAGGTTCTTCATCCATCACATTCAGTCACTCCTTAATGCACCAGCTGGAACAACGTGTTACAGAATCCAGGCACTGCAGACTTCTTCAAAGAGAAGGAGCACGAACACCACACAAACCTACCAGTGAGATAAACCTGAACCTGACTGAAGGCAGAGCTGAGCCTGAGGCTATGTAAGATGGCAACTGGAAGATG